TTACCATACACAGGTTCCACCGCCTCGGCAGCCCCACCTGATACCCTGCAGGCTTGACAGCCAAAATACTTCCTGGCCAGAGGCTCTGGGCGGGAACTTACCTTCAAGGCAATTAGGACTCCCTCTAGAGGGGAGACAAGTGAATTCCAAGGTCATCTTACCTGGGAACAGGTAAGTTCCAGATGGTGGTGTGTTGAAAATGGAAAGGGTAGACACCAAGTATATTGACATTTTTGTGTGTGAACACCAGGGAGGCTCCCAAGGGCTCCACTTCCAAAACAAGTGGAGTAAGAACCATGAGGACAAAGGGATGAGAAAGGCTCTTCAGTGGCAGAGGGAAGAGGGGCAAGGAGGTCCCTGACAACTGTTCATTCTGCTCTTCCAGGACTCCCAATTTCATGTAATGTCATCAATTTTTCATGATGATTCACAAAGGCTCTAACTACAAAGGATCTAAATTTAAGGTGTAACACTGTAAGACTTTTTAAAAAATTAATGAATTGAGTGAGATGTGGCAAGATCCCCGTCAGACCACATTCTCAAACTTTGGTTTTCGGGGAGCAAACATCATTTATGAGGGGAATCCAAATGGGAGGGGCTGGAAAGGGAAAATGGGCAGAAAACACCAAGGGCACCCCACAGAGGGGAGTAAATCAGGTTTCCATGAGCAGAATCCATGGGGGCGGTCAAAGGTCAAGCTATAGAGATGAGCAGCCATTCAGACCAAAAGACAGGAGGGGTGATGAACCTGTCCGAGAAGGATCTAGCTCTCACAGAGAGAAGCCAGAGGAGAGATGCAATGGGGAAGTCTCCATTATGCTGTTCCATTTTCTACCATCAAAACTGACAGTCAGGTGTCAGCTTGAAGGCTGCTAGGAAGCTCTCCTGAGTCTGACAGAATAGCTCCACCTATGCGCCCCCCACCCCCCACTCCTGTTTTGGAGAACATCGGCTTTCCTTCTGCTGCACCAGCGCTGGCCAGTCCTCCACGCTGAGCTCCACAAAGGCTAGAACCACTTCTGGACTCATCCGTGTGTCTACAAAGTCCTAAGCCCAGGCCGTGACACAGAGGTGTTCAAGATGCGCTGAATGTGTTGAAAATGTGGCCTTTTCACTCTTGGATAGTGGCTGAAGGTCGTCTTTTCAAAGAGCAGCTTGGGCTGAAAAGGCCAAAGCACTGAACCGCTGACTGGTGGCCCAGAGCCGGGGCGCAGGCCTCTCTTTGCACGCCCATGAGTTGTGCTTCACCCACTTTTCAAAGTCTTGGCACAGCCTCATTTAATCTTCACATGCCTGGGTGGGGAGGGCTGAAATGGTCCCTGACAAGGCATGGAGGAGGTCTTTGTCCAGAGGACAAGGATCCAGGGTGCAGTTTACTTTTTTTTTGTTTTTGTTTTTTTATGTCACTCATGCTCATCTCAAAACCTCTTGGGCCCTAAGAGGCTGCCCTATGCCACCTGGGCTTGGATGACACATTGCTCACAGTCTGGAAGAGCCTCTAACGTGTCCAGGCCTGTGGGTACAGGGAAAGACACAGCCACTTGCTGCTGCACACAGGCATTTCGTATCTCCTCAGCTAGGTCCTCAAGGGCAGGAACTGGATCCTACACTTCATTTGTTTCTCCCAAAGCACAAGGCATACACCACGTGCCTGGATATCCAGCAGTTGAGTAGTTGAGTACGCTGGGGAGCCACACTGTTTTCTACTGACTGCAAGATGACAACAGGGAGATGAAGTCAGCAGAAGGGCCCAGGGGTGGCTGGAGCCCCTAAATGTAGGCTTCCAGAGATACAGCTGGAAGAGGCTACCGTCTCAGGGCTGAGGATACAGTGGCTGCCCCCCAAAGCCTCCCCTGTCCCGACTCTGCCCCACCAGGGGAGTACCCAGAGGGTTTGTTTACACTCACCAGTAAGTGGGCCAGCCACTTTCCCCAGCCTCACCATCCTCACCCTCCTCCCTTGAATAACTGAATTTCCTTCACACCCTGAGCAGGCCCGACCCACCCGCTATAGTCAACCAACCCGCCGCTACCCATTCGTCATTCACAGCCTCCTGCATTTCCTGTCTCCAACCCAAAGGAAAACCCCAAATTTACTGTTATTGTTTATCAACCCAACTGCCTGCTCACCACAAGAGAGAGAGACCCCCCCCACGCCCCACCCCAAAGCTCAGAGCAGGAGCATGGACCAGGCGTAGGCCACTGCCTTGACTCCAAGCCTTGGGCTCCCTGTGCCCCCACTGCTGAGCAGCTCACTGAGGGGTGGAACTCTCCTGATGATAAAGGCCACCTGGCAGCTGGCATTTTAGAAAGTATTTAAATCCACCATCTAGGCTGGGTGCAATGGCTAATGCCTGTAAATCCCAGCAGTTTGGGAGGCTGAGGCGGCCAGATCACTTGAGGTCAGGAGTTCAATACGAGCCTGGCCAACATGGTGAAACACCATCTCTACTAAAAATACAAAAATTAGCTGGGCATGGTGGTACCTATAATCCCAGCTACTTGGGGAGCTGAGGTAGGATAACTGCTTGAATCTGGGAGGTGGAGGTTGCAGTGAACTGAAATTGCACAACTGCACTCCAGCATGGGCGATGGAGTAAGATTCCATCTCAAATAAATCAATCCACCAACTCACTGAATTCCTTATAACAGCCACAGGCCTAGGACTATCACCCTCATTCCCCAACAAAAAAAAACTAGACCTTCCTCAGTGGAGTGGAGCCCAGCCTCCTAGCTCTTCTCCTCCCTGCCCCCTCCACACTCCCTTACCAAGACGATGGCCATGTGCTTTCTTAAAGAAGCTCTAAACTTGGAAACAGGAGATCCAGGTCAGAATCCCTGACTAGCTGTGTGACACTAGCGAGTCCCTTTACTCCTCTGAGCTGGAGTTTCTTGTAGATAAGCTGGAGACGAGAATGACTACCTCAGAGTGTTCTGATGATGGTGAAGAGACTGAGGCGAAGAGCCCAGCATCGGCATTTGGCAGGGACCCAGGAGTGTCTGTAAGCTCTTTACATCTCACACCACTTAAGGGTGTTCCAGAAGCACACCTACCCCTGCACCCACGCAAGCCAGCATCTGCCCTTAGGGGCATGCCACCCCAGCACTTAGCAGAGGTGTTAGGTTCTCTCTGGAGACAGGAACTCACAGGGCCATGCCAGCATGGAAGGTCAGGGGCATGGGCATGGGCATAGGGGGTGGAAAGGTGTGGCAAGACCCCACTAACCACGCCAGACACCTCCTGGTCCTTCACCCCAGCCATCTTCCCTGAAAGCCAACCCCAGGCTAAATCCATGCTGACCACAAAAGCATCCTCCTGAACTGGGCTGAGTCAGGGAAGGAAGCAAAACACAAGGGCCAACGTTAGGCATGAGGACAAGGAGGCTGTGAGATGGGCCTCTGTGACAGAATCCTGGCCCCCAGTGATGCCTGTGTCCTGGTCCCTAGACTGTGCATATGTTCCCTTACACGGCAAAGGGGACTTTGCAGATGGGATTATGGTTAAGAACCTTGCAATGAGGTGATTATCCTGGCTTATCTGGGTGGGCTCAATCTTATCACACCAGCTGGGTCAGAGAGATGTGACCACAGAAGGATCAGAAGTATGTGAGGTTCCTGGTTGAAGATGGAGAAAGGGGGCCACAAGCCAAGGAATGCAGGAAACCTCCGGAACTGGAAAAGGCAAAGAAACAAGCCTCCAAAAGAGGAATGCATCCCTGCTGAGACCTGGACTCCTGCCGGCCTAGTAAGACCCCATCCCACTCCTGACCTACAGAACAGGAACATCATAAATTTGTGTTGTTTAAGCCATTAAGATTTATATGGTAGAGGCTTTGTCAACAGGAAACTAACACAGCTTCTTAAGACAGCAGAGCTCTGACAAACTCCTTTCCTTCTCTCCCTGACTCCCTCCTACTACCCCTCATTCCTCCTTCTCGAGTTCTCATTGCTTTTAACACCTTCATAAGCGCAGACAAAGTGAGTGGATTTCTCTGAAAGCAAAACCTCATGCTGGTTTGTTTTGAGCAGTGATTTTAGAGTGACGAGTAGAATCTCAAGGCGGTAACCAAACTCAGCAACCCACTGTCATAGAGGGGAGGTCCAGGGCCTGCTGTCCTCATGAGCTGAGGATGACGACATAGTTCTTCTTGCGGCAGAGGTGACAAGCAAGTCTCTCCTCCAGCAGGGAGAGGGATCTGAGTTCCAACCCCACCATGCAGCTGCGTGACCCCCTAGCACATTATCCCGCCCTCTCAGTTACTTTCCTCACACATAAAACAGAAATCAGCAGCCACCCTACACAGACTCTCCCTGGCAGCTCTGAGGGTAACATAAGAAAATGTGGCTGACACAGTGGAGAGTGTGCTATTTCTCCACCTGACGCGGATGGAGTGCAATGGGGCAGGCAGCCCAGTTTCTACTTCAGGCTCTGCTGCAGGTCAGCTGATCACATGGCCCCAGTTCTGGGCCTCAGTCTTCTCCTCTGTGCACTGAGAATGGGCCACAGGAACCCTGAGGTCTCTTCCAGCTCTGAGGTGGAGCATTTGGTTTCCGTATGATGCCTATCACCGCCTCCTGGAGCGTGCAGGTACTACACTAACCTGCTCCCCTGGTCTCTTTGCCAGGATTTCAACCAATTCACCACCATCCCTTCTTCCCTGGACCCTATACCAGCTGGCTTTTGCAGGCTAAAGATGCCAGCACCTGGTGGTGGCTATGTAGGTTACAGAATCATATGCCAAAAAGAGCTTGGTTCCTGATTCTGAATTTGGTAAAAGACGGGCTGAAACGCTTGCAGCCTCCCTGTCCTGCTGAGGATGCCCTACACACATCCTGCCCACGTCCTCAACAAGGAGGTGCTGACTCCTGCTCACCCAGGAGGCCCGCCCCTCCTCTCCTAAGGCCCCCAGTCCACCCTCCCCACCACCACAAAACCCCTCTGCACATAGAGGCAGTGGGAGCTAGGGCCTGAGCCCCAGAAAGAAAGAGGAAAAAAAAAACTTTCAACTATTAAATCTGTTTAGTAAAGACAGTTTTGCTCATACAAAACAACAGTTTACAACAATCGAGTGCTGGACACACCATCTGAGACGAGGGAGGCGCTGCAGGTACCCAGCGCCTTCCCCCATGCACAAAGACGACCCTGGACGCCCCTCCACCACCTGCCCCTGAGGGAGAGGAAAGGTGAAGTCTTCCTGCCACCTCTCCCTCCAAGGGAAGGGGGAGTGGGGGGCTATGGCACAGGGAGCCTATCCCCAGTTGCTCCTCATCTGTGCTGGGGAAGGCCCCTCCTCTCACCAGCCCCGAAGCTGAGTTGTTTGGGGTGATGGCAAATGGCTGATGGGCAAGGGAGCAAAGTCGGGACATCTTTGGTGCAAAGACTCCCCCCCGCCCACCAGGCCACACAATGGAAATTTGAGGAAAGACCTCAAAGTAGCCCTGCCTTTGCCCACAAGGTAGCTGGCTGATGCCCCAGAACCAGGGGAGACACAGGAAATGCAAAAGCTTTGTCAACAGAAGCTGCCCAGGCTCGCCCACATGAGCTGAGAGGCGGCCCATGGAGAAATGGCTAGAACTTTAAGGAAAAGAAACAAAAATGGATTAATAATGGGAAGAAGGGGAAGTAGAGAGGTCATTCAGTAGATGAGCGCCACAGAAGACCTAGGACCAGCACTAAGTGGGGGGAAGGGGGCCCTGGGGGCTGGGGGTCCAGTCTTCCTGATCACTGTACCAGTGCCCGGTCACTCCTCTCTGCCTCCCAGAACCCAGCTAACAGAGACAGGCCACCGAAAGCCTGCTTCAGAATCTGGATGGGCTTCCCAGGCACTGTGGCAGGCTCAGTATGGGCAGGGCAGATCCAAGAAGGGAGAAGGTTCCTAAACCCCAGCAGGGCCATCTCCCTCTGCAGCCCTGCCTGCCCCTGGCCCCTCAAATACACGATTCCAGGCACAGATCTGCGCACTCGTACACACGTGTGCACGCGCGCGCACACACACACACACACACACACACTCACTCCTATTTGTCTGGCACACTGGAAATATCTGAGGGCTCCAAGAGAGGAGGGCATGGCATCCTCCTCCAAGATGGCCGTTAGCTCCCAGAACGCCTGAGCCGGCGGGGACGACCCCAGGCTGTTGTGGGGAAACAGGGAGGGCAGATGGGACAACACAGGGACAATCCCTATGACAGTTTCCACAAATACCCTCTAACAAACCACAAGCGTTTGCAGTAGCCAGAGAGGAAGGCGTCCGGTGAAGAGGAGGAGTGGGGCAGGATGACAAAAGAGGTTTCATAAAAACTCTACGTCAGATCACTGACAGAATCGCAAAACGAGCACAGGTCCAGGAGCACCTTGCTCACTTCCCTCCACGGCCTCCCAGCCTCCCAGCCTCTCACTCTGGGGTGGCCAGAACCAAGGCAGAATTCAGCCACTGATGCAGTTCCAGGAGCCATGCAGCTGAGGAGGAGAGGAGGCGAATGTGGACAGTTCTGCGTCTTCGTTTAAAAAATATATTCCTGTAGAGAGTTATTGCTTGTCCTCCCGCGGGCAGGAGGGACGCGGTGGCTCAGTGGGCCAGGGCCGCGGCCTCCAGGGCCCGAGCTTTCTTCCGCCTCTTCAGCAGCAGAGGGTTGGACGCATCTTCAATCTTTTTTATCTTGATCTGTTCATAGTCAACGCGCATTGTGGCCAAGGCACTGGTCATCTCCTCCTGGAGCCACAGCAGCACCAGAAAGGTACAGAGAGAGCCAGAAGACAGGAAGGAGAGATGGCAGGAGAGAGACATGAGAGGCAGAGACACAACGAGGGCAGGGTGAGGGCAGCGGGAGTGGGAGCAGAGAGAGAAGATGGGCTGGTTAGTGGTCCGTGCTGCCAACGGCAGCCTCACCCCAGTGCTGGGCAGCAGAGAGCCTGGCTATGGAACTGCTGCTCTTCCCTCAGAGCCCCCCAGTGACCCAGCAGGAAAGCTGGAAGAGCCCTGGACCAGGAGTCAGGAAACCTGGATCTGGTCTGCCCCAACTGGTTACCAGCTGCATGACCTTGAGGCCCCTGCCTCTGGGCCTCAGTTTTTCTTCTGCAAAATTAGATTATATCTGATGGTCTTTAAGGTCCCATTAGAGACCCAGGGAGTAAAGGGATTCAAAGAAACAGCCCTGGCAGTGGCCAGGTGTGGTGGCTCATGCCTGTAATCCTAGCACTTTGGGAGGCCAAGGCTAGTGGATCACTTGAGGTCAGCAGTTCAAGACCAGCCTGGCCAATGTGGTGAAACCCCATCTCTACTAAAAATACAAAAAGTCAGCTGGGTGTGGTGGTGGACGCCTGTAATCCCAGCCACTTGAGAGGCTGAGACAGAGGAACCGCTTGAACCCAGGAGGTGGAGACTGTAGTGAGCAGAGATGGTGCCATCACACTCCAGCCTGGGTGACAGAGCAAGACTCCATTTCAAAAGAAAGAAAAGAAACAGCTCTGGTAGAGTTTGGGCAGGAACAGAATCCTCTGCTCACAACCTGATCAGCCAAGCGGCCCAGCTGCTGTTCTTCTTGTAATGAAGACACCCCTGGGGTGAGAGATGCAGAATCAAGCTCTCCTCTGCCAGCGCCACGCCTCACACCTGGGCACTCCCCGCAACCTACCCACCCTGCCTGGATCCCCTCTCGTCCAGTGGTGCCCCTCACCTTGACATCCTCCCACCGCTCCTTGTCCTCCTTCAGGACCCGGCTGGTGTGCAGTGGGGTTTGAGGGACCTTCGTTGATTGCTGAGAAGAGACGAAAGGGGTCCGAATCAAAGCCTGGGGTGGGCAGAGTCCTGGCTAAGACCCTGTCCTGCGGAACAGTCCCATGGGACCCAAGGCTCCCCAGCCTGCCGAGCTTACCATGATCCAGGGATGGTTCATAAACTCGGTGATGGTCATTCTCTGGGTGGGCTCTGTTTTCAGCAGGTTCCGAATGAGCATCTTCACTGTGGGGTGGGACAGGGGGCAGGGACAGCTCAGGGGCCACTCTCCCTGGTCTGCTTCTTCTCCCAGTTTTCATGGGGTTCAAAGAGAGGTGGCATGGAGGCAGACTGCCCAAGGAACTCTCCCAAGGACTGTTATGGCTGTACCACTTACAGGCCCTGCATGGACCCCCAGCCTCGGCCTTGCCTCCAGCCCTCCACACAGACAAAATGCACCCTGCAGGTGTGGGTGCAGGTGCTAACCCACAGTTACACCACATAAGATGGAGGCTCACACGTGAGACACACACACACACACACACACACACACACACACACACACACACACGCTCGCTCTTCCCCTTGTCCTGAAAGCCTGGGTTCTTACCTTCCTCTGATACTTCTGACCATTCTGGGTTGGGAAATTCATACTGGCCCATTCGGATGCGAGTCTTCATGCCAGGAGAGATGGCAAGGCCATGGTTGGAGTAGAAGGGGGGATACCCACACAGCCTGCATCAACAAGAGGAAGGAAGTGGGAGACCAAGCAGCTGTTACTTAGGGACCCTGCACCAGGAACGGAATGAGAAACAGGCTCTTCTCCTCGTAAAGGTCACAAAGAAATCGGGGCTAACTGAACAGGCATAACGTACAAAGTCAAAGACTGGGCCCAGGAATCCAGCATAGCAAGTATCTAAGGCACCCATGAGCTGGTTTACAATGCCACTTAGCTAAGGGAACTGAGAGAAGGGGCTCGCAGGGGACTCGCCTGTCCAAAGGGGAATGCTAACATCTGCCTCTTCCTCTTGACCTGGAGAGGTACAGCCTGCCCTGACTTCCAGCCCCACCCAGTCCCCTCCCCAGCACACTCACAGGATGTACATGATGACACCCAGGGACCACATGTCACAGGACTTGTCATACTTCTCGGGGCCCAGCACTTCTGGAGCTGTAAATCAAAGGTCAACATGGGTGGGCCCAGCCCTCAGAACCCTGCAATCCACTCAGTTTCTCTATGAAAGATGCTCCCCCTCCCAGCCTTTCAGCCTGTCATGAGGTGGCAGCAGCTGGGGCACAGGAGGAAGAGCCGAAGCCCAGACCCAGGACTGGAACAGACATGCTTCGCCATGAGGAACCGTGGAACTAGGATCTTAAGATTGTAGGCCAGGCGCGGTGGCTCAAGCCTGTAATCCTAGCACTTTGGGAGGCCAAGGTGGGTGGATCACGAGGTCAAGAGATCGAGACCATCCTGGTCAACATGGTGAAACCCCGTCTCTACTGAAAATACAAAAATTAGCTGGGCATGGTGGTGCGTGCCTGTAATCCCAGCTACTCAGGAGGCTGAGGCAGGAGAATTGCCTGAACCCAGGAGGCGGAGGTTGCGGTGAGCCGAGACCGCTCCATTGCACTCCAGCCTGGGTAGCAAGAGTGAAACTCCGTCTCAAAAAAAAAAAAAAAAAAAAAATTGTAAAAATCCTGAACCAATTTTAGTCTCATACCATCCATTTAATTTGACAGACACTCTGGACATGCTTTGATAGCTTCTTCCATGCCAATGAGCCCAGAACAAGATCTGGGTCCCAGATGCCACTGAGAATCTGATGGAAACCATGGTTCTTCTCAGAAAGCTCCCGGCAGAGCCTTCCCTACACTTCCTCCACTGTAGTTTCGCTCTAACAAGCCCTGCTTCTCAGCAGGTCCCAGCAGAACCAGCACCAGAAGGGGCCATACAGACACAATTCTCCTAGGCTCTGCGGCCCCCCACACAACCAAGGGGAGGGGGCTGAGAAAACTTCTGGGAAAAGCCTAGGTCCCTGGGCCCCCTGTGGACTTACCCACATAGTATGGCGTATAACAAGGAGTGGTCAAAGAGTTGTGGCTGGTGGTTTCCTTGGCAAAGCCAAAGTCTGTGAGTTTCAGGATGGCGTTGGGCCTTTTGGAGGTGTATAAGAGATTCTCAGGCTACAGAAAGAGAGACAGAAAAATAGCAACCCTATTGGACCTGGGAGGTGCTGTCAGAAACCAAACGGGCCCTGGTTCCTCCCTTCCTCTGTTCATCCAGCAACCATTTGCCTATCCCAGGCACTGGCCACCACAAGGAGCGGCAGCTCTCTATGGGTGTCTGCCCGGCCCATGTGCTGCCCACCACGAGGAGCGACAGTCTCTATGGGCAGGTGTCTGCCTCCGCAGGGTTTCCAGAGTACCTGGAGATGAGAGACTGACACACAGAACCTGCAGTAAACACCACAGGGACAGAGAAACCAAGAGTGTGTCTGTGAGATTCTGCCTGAGGAGAACCACAGGGCTGAGTGTGGCCAGAGAATGTTTCACTGCTGGGTTCATGGGTTTGCCCATGGACACAGAGGGCAGAGAATGGTATGCTCAGGAACCAGGCGGCAAAGATGCAGGGTGGCCTGGCAACCATCCCTGGGGTGGCACAGCCCCCCTGCTGCTCCCACAGTACTCAGGCTCAGGGCTATGAACTGCTGGCACCTTGACATCCCGATGGGCAATGTTGATTGAGTGCAGATACTGGATGGCCTCACCAATGCTCTTCATGATTTCGGATGCTTCTGTAGAGGGGAGGGAAGGGGGAGTGGGAAAGAAAGTCATGAAGACACGTCATTCGACTTGAACGCCCAGTGCACCAGTCCCACCTCTGTGCAGCCTGAGGCTCCCCACAGCCACCACCCACCCCAGGAACAAAGCCACCAGGAGCTGCCCTGGTCAGCTGAGGCACCCTCTGCAACATGCTGGAGGGGGTATCAGCCTCTGCACCATTCCCCCTTCAGACCTCCACTGCCCTGCCTGCCTGCACCTGTTCCCGCAGCAGATCGTTTCTACCTCTTTCTGTGAAGGCCTGGTCTCCTCGGTCCTGGATTCGGCTAAAGAGTTCTCCGCCGTCCAAACTGAAACAAAGCCAGAGTGAGACCTGGAGAATGCTGCATCCTACCGCCACTCTCCACTGCCCCCAAAAGAAATCAAGTGGTGACATTCCAGGTTTCAGGCCCATGCCTGGGCTGTCCTCAGAAGGCAAGGCACCTGGGTGGGGAGTGGGGACAGGCTGGGCAGGGACCAGAACAGTGGCTGCTTACCATTCCATGACAATCAGCAGGCACTTCCTCCCTGCATACAGATTCTCATAGACATCCACGATCCTCACGATGTGCGGGCACTGGGAGGCCCGCCAGTGCAGCTCCACCTCCCTGCGGGCCTTGGGGCAGTCCTGAAGCATCTGCAGGCCAAACGACTTCCTGAGGAACTGCGCTCTCACGTGGGCCTGCTCTAAGCCCCTGGCCCGCATGCCCTGGCATCACCACCGACACACCACAAAGCCCCCACTCCCGCGGGCCCCTCCCTACCAGCCCCCTGGCACATTTCCTGAGGCCTCTGCAGCTCCTTATCTGCTCTATATGAAATCTCACCATGACCCTCTTGGAGCCTTGACAACTACACTGAGATCAGCCCTTGGACCATTCAGTCCAGCTTAGGGCCTATCTTCAGCTTAGGCCATGACTTCTACTCCAGAAGGCAAGCAGCAGTCAGGTACTGGGAAGCAGGGGGTGAAGGGGTTACGGGGAGAAAGGCAGACTGAGAAAAACCAAGACAGCATTGGAAAGGGGGCTAGAGCGAGGAGAGACTCCAAAGTCCATAGGAAAAGGTACCTCCACAATTACTCAGACCCAGCACACCAAATCCAGAGCGATGTTCTCTCTACCTCTGTGGCTGACTTCAACCAAGCAACAGATGGCCTTGGAAGTCAGCCAGATACTGGTCTGAATCCAGTTATTACTGGATCGGCAAGCTTGAGCAAGTTACTTAACTCGCAGAGCCTCACTGATGCCCCTTCTTCTCCCTGGACCAGTTTGCTGGAGGTATTAAAGGAGGCTCCTCACCAGCCTCAGGAGTTCAATCTTGACTTGTCTAAGCCAGTCTCATTAATTCCAATCCCTTTGCTAGTGACTCGCTTGGGAACAAGCCTACAACCCAACTGACCCAAGATCTTTGTAAGAAATCTGCTAACAGGCTTCTTAAAGGGAGCACAGGAAACCTACATAATCTCTCCTGTATATGGCACCTGGGGCCGTGACAAGCACATCATGACCAGTAAGGGGGCCTGAGAGGATAAACCAATGCACTGAGGACGGCCACCAGGAGAGATGGCAACCACCTGGATCCTTGCTGACATCACCAAGGATATCTCATGACTTCTTTCTGACAAGATAATAAACTTTTCTTACTGTTTAAGCTGCTTTTCATGAAAATTTTTATTGCTTGGGGCCAAAAGCATCCTGATCTATGCTTCCTTTGTAAAGTGGGGATAATGGCTTATGTTTCACAGATTTGTTGTAAGGATTAAATGAATATTTCCACAAAGCATCTCACAGAGTGCCTGACATGTGCTCACTAATGGCTGTCATTTTTATCACCGATGGTCTGCTAAGTGCAAGCACAGGTGCCAGAATAATTAAGACAAGGACACTCACAGATCTAGCGTCTTCATGGGAAGTCAAGATGCAGACCACACTCCAGCTGCTTTGGACAAGCAGAGGGCTAGGGTGTCCAGGAGAAAGGCTGGGAAGAAAACGGACAGGCAGAGGGAAGGCATCCAGGCTGGGGGAAACGTGAGAAGCAGGTGCTGACTGACTGAGATGGAGTGGAGCTGGGATGATACAGCAGGGAGGGCCAAAAACCTGCTGCAAAGTGCCTGAAGTTTGCAGATAAGATCAGATGGCCAAGATGAAGATGGCAGACGGCAGGGAAGGGCAAACAAGCATTTCCAACAGTAAGGCTGGCATACATTTATGCTATGGCCCATGATGTGCTAGGCTTTTCCTAACTGTACAACATTTGACATTTTACAGGATGAGGAAGCTGAAGCTCAGGAAAGTAGCATGCCCAAGGCTACATTTCTGAGAAAAGGCAGAGCCAAGGCTGGAATCCAGGCCTGGTAGACTCCAAAGACCAAGTCTTTCCACCATACCACTCAGCTTTTAGAGGAGGCTGGAAGCCAAGACTTCTCAGACTGACTTTGCAGAGGCCATTCCCCATCAGGTGTCTAGAGGGAATCAATGACAAGATAACTGGGTCTCTCCCATGGAGTCATGGTTGGCTGGAGCCAATAGTTGCAGGAGTCAAGGTTCCTGTGAGGTCACACTGCCACCTTGTGGCCATCTGAGGACACCGCATGGGTCTTGAGTTCTGCCACTTTCAACTTCATTCCGGTTTTTTGTTTTTGAGACCAGTATCTCGCTCTGTTGCCTAGGCTGTAGTGCAGTGGCACAATCTTGGCTCACTGCAACCTCCCCTTCCCAGGTTCAAGCGATTCTCCCACCTCAGCCTCCTGAGTAGCTGGGATTACAGATGTGAGCCACCACGTCTGGCTAATTTTTTGGTATTTTTAGCAGACAGGGTTTCACCATGTTGGCCAGGCTGGTCTCCAACTCCTGGTCTCAAGTGATATCCCACCCTGGCCTCCCAAAGTGCTGGAATTAGAGGCGTGAACCACTTCACCCATCCTTCAACTTCATACATTTGGATGTACCAGGAAAAAAGTTTACTTTCACATGCTCTAAGAGGAGCAGGAGAAGGCACTGGCCAATTTCCTTTGTATATAATTCAATCCAACAAGCATTTTCTGAATTCCTACTATGGGCAATGCATTGCACTGAATGTCAAAACCAAATAGAGGAGTCCTGATCTGGAAGAGCCTAGGTTAGTCGGGGGTCAGAAGATATAAGGGGAGACACAGAAAAATGCTTAAAATCCAGTGAGATTACATGCTGTAAGAGTGCTAAATTCCCAAGGGTTCAGGAACAAGGTTTCCACAGCAGCTAAGCAGAAAGAACCTCTACCGCCCCCTACAGGCACATAGGAACTGGAGCACAGAGGAGAATCAAGTTGTCAAATGTACTCAGAGGCAATGCGTGGTTGTAGAGTTACAACTGGGGAAGACTTGGCCCGGTCTGAAATTTGTCAATTTCTTCTTGCACAGCCTCACAGAGAGGTCTACCTTTCAGAGCCTATGCCACAGGCATTTAGGAGTGATGATATCTGCCTAGCCTCCCCCTTATAGAAACATCATGAACACCTAATGAAATAATACCCCTAAAAATGCTTTGTTATCAGAAAGACATTCATCACTGTCAACCAGTACCATTAGTGCCACGGTAGAGGGAGGTCCCTCTGTCACCACTGAGTTGAGCCTGGAGCATGTATATATAACCAGCACAAGTTACCAGCAAGAGTGTAGGCTGGGTTTCTGTCTTCAGCCCAGTGACCACCACCAGGACATCTGCCAACCAGAGCTGTGCTAAGTGGGATGCACCAAGGTCCAAACCCAAATGCATGCTCCCTGACACCCCCTGAACTCCCAGAGCCCACTGCAAGTTCCATGCTTTCTGCCCTAGACACATTAAGAGTGCATGGCACAAGGCAAAGCAGAATCTGCAGCAAGAAGGGCTGGGTTCACATCGTACTTCCAGACTTGCACAAAATCTCTTCCCATTAGAAGAGATGGATGGATGTAGCACGGTGAACTTGGGCTTTGGAATCATAAGCATTTTGAATCCTGGTTCTGCACTTCCTAGCTTGCGTCAGGCAAGGCCATCTATCTTCCTGAAAAGTGTTTCCTCATCTATAATATTAGATTCAACTTCATAAAACAATATCCTTGAAGATGCTTCAAAAATTCTATATAGAGTACTTTTCACTTTTTAAAAACTTACCATTTTGCATATTTATGCCTTATCTCCCCAACCTAACTGCATTTCCAATGGGCAAGATCTAATTTGATTTCTGTTTACTCCCTCCCCTCTTCCTTCCCTCACTTAGTGGTTAGGAATTACTGAGCCACCACCTCCTCATTCTGTTGTGTCTTCTCCCTACGAAACTCTCTCCCCCAGTGACTGAGTGAGGGTGAGCTGTCCTCTCTGACCTGAAGTAAATTGGAAAAGGTAGTATTTTTAATTTCTTAGAGAAACACAGCAAGAATTTCCCATGAAGGCTGGTCACTGACATCCAGCCAGGCACATGTTTATCAGAAATCCCTGACTGGATAGAAAAATCAACCCAAGCAACGAAAGACCATCAAATGGGTCAGGCAGGCTGGCTGACGTCATGGGCACACAGCCCGGAAGCGCCCAGGTGGCTTTGTGGACAAGTGAGGAGTGCAGAAAGCCTGGAGGGAGGAAACCAAGAATGCACTCATCTGGAGTACACAGCTAAGTAAAAGAACAGCAGGGGAGGTGGCCTGCGCTCCAAGCCAGGGAAGAGACAAGGAAGGAAAGCAGGACTCCTAGGGCACTGCCAGAGGCCACCAGCAGAGCGAGGCAGGTCCATCCAGAAGCCAAGGCTCCCACTCCTCGGGCACGGCCATGGCCATAGGCAGTGGAGGCCAACAGGCCCTGGAACACAGCTCTGAGGACCAGAGACTAGAAGAAGGAAGGGTCTTCCTACGAAAAAGCCACAATTAGTCAAGAATGCCTGGAGGAATTGTGAAATACTTTAAGCCCAAACTAAGCCCCGGTCCAACATTGTGACTCACCTCAGCCCCACGCAGTTTGTGCCTGAAATTCTCTTACACTATAGAAAAGGTTAACAATTGCATGTGCTTGGCTGCAACCCAACAGGCATGGCCCCTTGCCAACTGTGGCAGGGGCATGGGGCCAAGCTACAGAGCCCACTGCCTGGGGAGGAAGCTCTAGGACAGTGGCAGTGAGGGAGCTGTAGGAGCCGCCTAAACACAGTCCCATGCCTCTCTGCCTCTGCCAGAACCTGAGGGGAAGAAGGACAGGACCCCTCCCCCTATTCAGAGTGTGCACGGTTCCCCTCATCCCCTCTCACGGGTCTGCCATCGTGGAGCCACATGGAAAGACTCAGGAGTGGTCAGCATTTGAAACCTAGCTGGGCCAGAGGAAAGAAAAGCAGCCGGCACCCAGGGCCTAGGGTGCTACTCACCAGCAAGGCGGACAGGAGGACAAGCCTGGGAAGGAGCAGGCCCCAGGGCCTCAGGGGACCCCCTTCACAAGCCCCACTGATCACTAGCTGTGTGAACTTGGGGAAGTTTCCAACCCCTTTGAGCCTTGGTTCCCTTATCCATTAATAGGATAGTAATAGCCCCTACCTCATGGGGTTGCTATTTTAGACAAGTTCATAGATGTATATGATGTAAACAACTAAGAATGGTGCTTGGCATGTAGTAAGTACCACATCCGTGTTTGCTATTACTATTCT